AGGAAGCTAAAATACCAGCTGCATGGAAGTGAATTTGAAGTTTACTGTTGATTTAATCAAAGCAAGATATCATTCAGGGAGTTGAAAATATTTAGTACTGATGAAGGTGCTAGTAAAGTAAGATAAAGCCTGACTGATAACTGTTCTACTATAACTACTACATAAATAAATACCTTCTCTAAACTCAGGTTTTAATAACATTTAATTTGCAGTGCAGATTGAAGTAGTAATATTTTATCTTCACTGGTGATACACTTCATTCTCTTCAGAGCAGTGTATATAGACATCGTGTTTATACACATCTACTGGGAGCTGAACAGGATTGACTGTTCCTGTTCTCAGAAACCTTGATTCTTTAACTGGAAAAGGATTAATTTCTATTCATTATTATCTCCCTCTGTAGTAGGATTAAATTAATATACTTCAAAAATGGGGTGTTTGTTGTTGGTTTAGGTTTGTGTTTTAACATGCTCAAACCAAGAGAGAAATCCTACATACTGAGAATACTGAATCCCACAGTATCGTTCAAAAAACCATACCTCTGATAACTGATCCACTTTTTGTGTGGTTTACACTGTGATGAAATCTGTAAGTAAGTGGATTGTCTAATAAAGGTATTGGACTGAAGGCTAACAGCCCACAGAAAACTGACCGCCTTATTTCTTCCATCATTTCAGATTAACCCTAGCCAATACATTCAAGAACAAATAGCTAAGATCAGTACTGCCTTGGCCAGGAAAAGGGTTAAATGAACATGCAGGTCTCTACTGCATCTAACTTCTAGGATTTTATAGAAAATGAACACACTGTGAATAAAGGCTCAGCACTGCCAGAATTCAGGTTGGACCAAACCACTTAAGAGATCTAGTTTCACCTGTTCCTTTTTGTAAACAGCAACCTGGATTTCCAGATCTTGGCTTATTTGAATGCAAGCAAAAAGTATGTTTCTAATGCCTACAGTTGCATTAATATTGTGCACCAAATGGACTACCAGAGAAAAAGAAACTAAGGAGTTACTACTTCAGTAATGTTATTCCTTACATAATAAAGACACCAGAACAAAACAAGCATTCAGAGATGACACTAAAGGAATCACAGTTGAGGAACTCTGACCTGGACTGCAAGCCTGACCTGAGGGACCCCGCTCAGCTCTTTCACTAGTAGGACATTCCCTTTACATGTGAATGACTGTGAATTGTATGGCTATGCCAGTGTGCCACAACGGGTGGGGGTGGGGGAAATCACTTCAGGTCCAAACTGTCTTATCTAACTAAACAATCTGGGGTAGACAGAATTACTTTTTTCAAAGGCAAGGCAATAACTTGTGTGTGGCTTATTTTCTGCATTGATGAGCAGCAATGTTCACTAATAAAAAGCTAGCAGAGTTAAAAAGAAAGATAGGGATTCCTATTGCATCAGTGCCATTAACAAACATGCTGGCTAAAATCCAGTTTCAAAAACCTTCAGTGGTGAACGCAGGAACAATATACCTTGAATTTTTGAAGTTTAGATATCTCCTACAAGAGTCAGGTCCACTGTTTCATTGTAATATTGAAATTACAGAAATGTAGATAAAATAAGGTTGAAATGAAGACTCAGAAGGATCAGGCTAGGAAAAGAACTGTTATTTTTATCTTCTGGTCTTTCAAATGCTAGGAACTAAATTTTCCTTTCAACCCCTTCTTTTCTGGCTGTGAAATACAACTAAATATTGAATGAAGTCTATTTTCAGTCTGGAGGATAAGAAAGAGGAACAGCTTCTTTCTACATTCACAATATCAAATCAAGAAACCAATAACAAAAACTAGTTATCTTTTGAAGATATGTACATAATGATCTTCTAAGGACTTCTACCAGAGAAGCTTGGTAATTTACACCAGAATTGTCAGTTGACCAATGCTGAATAGGCATGCATGGAAAAATACTAGAAAAGGGTTTTCTCCTCTTACGCATACAGCTGGCAAGGAAACCAAACTGGATCAGTGGTCAGGTAATTACAGAGCCTTTGGAAAGTACATAGGCAGCTACACAGAAAGTACATGGGCACAACTGCATCTTTTTCTTTTCTTCTCCCCTTTTAAAAAAAAGTCTCCTTTTAAAGAAAAGGTCTTTCTTCATTGAAACTTCCCTACTTCCCTCTCTTTTGTTGCCACACCATTCCTAAATGGTTATTTTGTTCTTGAAAAAGCAAGCAGAGAAGAGCTTCTAGAAAAACACAATCCAAGTTTCAGACTAGGAATGCCCTCATCATATAACATAATAGCAAAAATATGGTATCCTCTATGGGCGTTCATCCATGTAATTTATGGGTAGTTGCAATTTAATCCTCTGAAGAGATCTTATAGCTTGTTGAAACACTATGAGAACCTTGGCCCAGTGGAAATATCACTGTTGCAATGACCATTAGTACCTGGAGTCTGCCATGTAATTTATTGCTGTTGTGCCATCTGTCTGTCTCCTCCAGTTCCCCTCCTATCTGCCCACTTTTCTTAAAATGACCTTTTGTTAAAGTAATATAATTCTTTTCTGTCGTGCTAGTTCTTTTCCCCAAATTACTCCATTTTTGCATACTATATACTGCATATATCAGAAATTTTAAAAACAATGCGAGATTTACTTACCTGGCTGAATAATTTCTATTACCTTTTCCCAAACTCCATCTGGGTATGTTACAATGGAGCAAAAGTAAAGACCAACATCCTCCAAAGTGCTCTTGATGAAGGATAAGGACTTGTCTTCCCTGGAAGCATTTTCAAAATAAATTCTTCCACTGTATTTGTCTTCTATATGTATCCCATAAATTGGATGCAAGACAGCTATATTTTCTTTATGAGTTACATTAAGTTTCATCCAGGATGTCTGGATTATCACGGCTTTGTTTGGATATATGCATTCCAGTTTCACCTTCTCAGTAAGTTTTACAGTTGCATCCACAAACTTTCCTTCCACGTTGGCTAAAGCACACACAGAAATTCAGTTTCAGGATCAACATAATTGAAAATTGAAATTATAGAAAAACTCAGAAACAACTTTGGCAGCACTACAAGCAAAACACTGAAGAAAAAGTTCACTAAAAAAAAAAAAACAAACCCTAGACATTATTATTACCTCTAACTTAAGAATATCATTGAACAGTTAAAATTTGTCTGAACCACACAGTAACACACTGGTGAATTGTGATCATATCTGTCATGATGCAATAAAAAAAAGGAAAGATGTTAGCTAGGAATAAGAAAGCAATCTTACTTCCGCAAAGCTGGAGAACAACAATAAGGAGAGCGACGTGGTTCATCTCAAAGAACACTGGAATCAGTGACTGCAGTGCAACACGGTTTTATTCAATCTCTGGGCACCATGTGCCCTTCTCACAGGATGTTTTTACTTTTGAAATATGAAAAACATCATGTACTTTTTACTTTCACATTCTAAGAAACACTAATTTTGAGGTCGCATTGCAGTTGCATCAGAGACTAAGTCCTATCAAAATCCACCTCAGAGTAAAGTTTGCATTACTAATGAACCTCTAGCAATATGCATGAATACTATGATAACTGATGAAGTGGGGATCTGTAGGTTTTACCAGCAGAAGCAAACAGAATTCTTCCATGACATGTATCCAAAATCAACCAAATTTCTCAATTTTTATGACACTGAAGTTCAACATTTATCTATTATTCAGGGAGTATAAAATCTAAAGTGAAGATAAGACAGTCCTTATATATTAGAGGTCATAATTCTGTGACTAGTTATAAAAAGTAATGTCTTAAGGTCTGAGAATTTATTTGTGATAACATGTCATGAGCTAGTATTTTGGGATCAAAATTATGCAGCTCGAAAATTCTTGTTCAAAGGTGTAAGAATACTGAGTATTCGTGACTCATGTTGAAATTTGTCAAAACAAGCCACACTCTTACATTTCTTAAGGATTTTTCTCAGGACAACTGCAAGCATTTTTGCACCTCAGCAGGCTATAGTTTTATGGAGCTGCTTAAAATTGGAACAACGTGATTGACTTGAAGTCAAAGCTAAGCCTGAATTGGTTGGTTAAAATTCTCAAATGAATAAAGAAATGTAAGTTGAACTAAAGATGACAACAGAAATTAATATTTTAGGTGAGTAATAACCTGCACAAGCTTGAGCAGAACTTAGCATTAAATCTCTTTAAGACTGCTCCCACAGTGCAACAGCTTGCATGTACACCAAAATCTGTATATATTTAGCTGCATTAAACTAGGCATGTTTTAGGATAATACAACATCTTGAACGTTTGCAATGACTCCATTTTGTCACTTCCTAGTTAGATCTGTAATTCTCCATTGTTGTGGTTGCACTTCTTTCTTCTCCACGTTATCTGGATTCACAAAGTACAGTCAGTATGATGCCAAGTGTGAAGATCTAAATAGAAGAGAATTGAGTTGAAGACTGAGTCTTGTTTTATTTGCATTACAAAGTTATCTTTTCAAAGAGATCAAAAGATTAACTTACAATAAGCTTGTATCAGGAAATAGAAGTATTTCTGATAAGAAAAGCAGGAAATGGGAAGCTTCAGAAACTAAACTGCAGATTTTGTATTGGAAAAGAAAGGATCTTGTGAGTTGAAGAGGCCCAGTTCCTGAATGCTGTGCGGCATAGCGGCCTTTCAACCAGCTACGCAGGATCTATATGGTTCCCACATTTAAATCTTGAACTTCAGTGGCTAGCTGTTCTCAATTTGCAGTTGCAAATGAGGCAAAAAGTCAAAGTATCTCTCCAGCTTGAAATATTATTCTTTATATCATACTATGTATGTATATAGTAGTTTACAGATGAGTGGTGTTCCACAAAATCTAAAGTGGAATGAAAACGATAAACATATGTTATTTTTGTTACTATTATTATTACAAATGAAACTTTTTACACATCTGTTTTCTTTAATTAAAACTAAGATAAAGTACTCAGGAAGCCTCCAAAATGAAGACAAATTCCCTTAAATGAAAATTATTCTTCACTCATCTGTTTATAAATATAAATTACAATTTTATTACTCTGAATTTCATGCTTGTTTCTCTCCATCTGGCATTGAAAGAAAAACAGAAGTCAAGAAATTAATGTCCAACCTCACATGATGACTAAGTATCAATGATATAGTATGTTGTCTAAAGACATTTATTTTGCTGTACAACAGACACAGTTACTACAAATGCCAGGGATTCTTGGTCAGCTAGTCCCAGGAATACTGTCCCTTGTCATACCTGCTAAAAAAATGAGCCTGTGACCAGGGCATTACTGAGTCTCCCTCTAAAGGCTGCAACACAAGCACTCCCTCTAAAGACTGCAATACAGTCACTCCATCACTTGAGCTGTTCCTTGGGATCTGCCTCTCTGGTTCTCTGCCCACCATTCCCCACAGCCTGGTTCTTCTTTCCCAGTAATCCCATTTTCTCTCCATCCTTTGAACCCCAAAGCAAAGGAAGGGAAGGCTCACGAAGACAAACAAGCTGTAGTTAACGAACTGTTGGCTAAATGCCAATTACAGTTTGACAACAAAAGCAGCACAGTGGAATTTTCCAGCTGAATGTACAACTGTAGGATGTGGTTTAAAAGAAAAAAAACTAACAAGAAAGATAAAGAACAAAAAAGACTGTGCAGTAAACACAATGGAGATCTACAGCTTAGATTTTAATCATGACTTGAATATACATGTTCAGTGACCCTGGTGAGTCATTTCATTTCCCGGTGCATTAATTTCCCAAACTCCAATACACAGATAATATGTAATGAATGCTGCTGTTTCAAAGCATGTCACAATAATCTCTGTAATGAGGTTTTTTTAATAGAAATTTATATAAAACTGTGTAGAATAAGACATACATATAGGGCCAGCACAATATGTTAATACTCTTTTTAATGATTCATTAGTATTTAAGATTTAACAAATAGGCCTGTAGCAATAGTGCAGAAAGAGTGGCAAATATACTTGCAGACTGCTGCTGCCACCAGAAAAAAGGGTTTGACTGTGGCAGTACAGTGAAGCAGGAGACAGCTAAAAAGGAGACCACTCCAGGTACCATTTCTTTTGACTTACAAACATGATAAATCAGGGAAAAAAGGTTCTTTAGTTTCAGTGAATCTCCAGTGAAGATAATGAAGCAAATGGATTGGGAGGAGGGAGGTTTGAGCATATTTCGCACTTGGCCTGAGGATCCCTGTAGATTAGCTCTAACCCTGTAGAAGCCAGGTTAACCAATCCAGATGATAATTCAGTAACAAGTGATACAACTCCCTATTTTTCTATGGATGAGGGTCCTGTTGCTGGTGTACTGCCATCAAGGAAATTACCTCTTTTTCCCTTCACTGTTTTATGTTTCTTTAAGCAGGATGGCTGAGTGGTACAGCTGGATAAAGGCACACTGATTCAATTTGCTTTGCCTATTCTGCATCTAATCTAATTGAACAAATAAAGTCCCCTAAATTGGATTAATCTATAGGCATGCCTGATTCAGTAACATAATGGATAGGATTCTTCAGTATGTATTCATTAACCTCAGAGGAGAAGTTAAAACCAAGTATTCCTCCAAAGAGAAAAGAAGAAGTTGTGAATTAAATACAATCATGTTTTGGGGATATATTGGTAAAGATGATTCAGAGAGGAAAAAGAAGCTCAATCTAAAAGGCTTTCCCAAATATAGAAAAATAAAGAAAATATAATCTACATGCTCAAGTTCCCAATAATTTTTTATTGTTAAACATACTGGCCTCCAAGAGGTTATGCTATATAAATTATAGTTCTATGATGAAATGTTTCAACCTCAAAAAGTCAATCTTTGCAAGAGCATATGTATTCAGGAGTCTTCAGACAAAGGATTATGTTTTTAGATTTCTGGAAATGGAAAATTATTTGCATTTTGGAACTGGACCACGAACTGGATATTCATCCTAACATAACACTAAACACCTAAATGTGTCAGGAAGCTAAAAACTGTTGGTGATAAAAAACACAGCTGTAATAGGAAGGCTGGATAACACTAAATGTTGAAATTCAGGATGGGTTTTTGCAGTTTTTTCAGGGACATTATTCATGAGTAATGGATGCCATTTGAATATAGAAAAGATATGTTTAGTGACAGAATAAGCTAATGATGAGATGTACTAATAGTATCAAGTCTGCTTAAGGCAGTGGAAGAAATACCACTGGTGAACAATTTTTGAACTAGGCACCATAAAGCACTACTACTGATGACTCTCAAGCCAAAGCCGTGTTGGTAGGAGATAAGAAGGTTTGTGGTATTTTTTTAAGTTCACCGTGTGAGTAATGCTCCTTTGATGTGCTCATAGCAGAAAAGTCTGCCTGTGACAACTCGCTCAACTTTAGTGAAGTTTGCGTGTCTGCATGTGAGGGGGAAATCCTTAAAGCAGCCATTAGAAGTACTCCTCTGTCCATTTGAATAAAACAAAAGTGGAAAACATGACAAAGAAGTGAACTGAAGATAATTATTAAGACAATGAAAAAAGCCAAGTTGATCTACTTAGAGAGAGAAAACCTCAACATACAATCACAAGAAAATACCCAATTAATTATTTTGTTTATATTTTTATTTATGTGATTTCTTAATGTTTAATGCCTTTTTCTTCTAACTAAACCTTTTCTGTTCAGTGATCTTGACTGTAAATGTTTGCCACTGATTAGCTCAATAAAGTATCAAAAATGTCCTTAAAAATATTTTATAAATTCTTCTACTTTTATAATAGGAACATAGTACTGGATTTCTGTTCACATTTTGTTGATAATTAGTCTATGCATTTTCATCCAGTAATAACACAGAAGACAGCGTTTGAAAGACATGAAAGAAACTAATTCACAAAGGAAAGTAGTAAATTACATTTGAGTCTTTAAGAGTTTAATGCACTAGTACTGTGTAGTTGACTGTGTTTCTTTCAGTTTAGTTCTTGTCCTCCTGTTGAAGTCTCTTATTTTATTAGTTTCCAGAAAGTGATATTATTTGCAGAAACCTGAAAGTTTCACTTTAATGAAAGAAAAATGAAGGCAGAAAGGCTTCAAGGTTCTCACACAAATCCATTATTGGGACAGGAAAAGGACGTTTCCATTTCAGAGCACAGACATTCTCATACACCTATTATTTTTCCTGAATTATCCTTTTCTCAGTTCAACTCTACTTTTTATGTCCATCACGTTGCTAAAAAAAAAACTTTTAAAAGTCAGTTTAAGGAAATGAATGTTGCTGGATTTTTTCTTTTGCTGACAGAGGCCCACAGAGCAGTTTCCTAAACAATACCCTCAAACACAGCCTGGAT